GGGGGAAGAGACAAGGGATCCTTTCGCCGCGATAATCTCGCACGGTCGAAAGGACGAAGATGCACTCCTTACACCCTTTATAGCGTCCATAATTGAAATACATTTGCCACGCGCAAAATCGATCAAATCGTCCGGTGCACTAAATCTGATTTTTTATCGGGTTCCCTTCATTAAAAAAAAATAGATAAATAAAAAAATATAATAGCCCTTTAGATGACATATATCTTAAGAGACACAAGAAAATAATATATATTCGCACACGATGTATTAAAATAATTTTTAGCGTCGCCCTTATTTCGAATTATCGAACGCGATCTTGATTTAAGTCTCGAAATTAAGCGGCCACGTATTAAGGATCGCGTTAAAACGGGGTGGGAATTCCGGTTTCTTATTCCGTCGCAAAATACTCGAGATATTCGGCTCGGATGCGCCTCCGACTTTCCTGGTGTGTATCCTGTGTACGGGCGAGGTGTAAAGCCAAGCTACTTTCTCGGTAGTGGTATCAGTGGGCACTTGTTGCTCCTCTGGCAAACCCCGTGAGTGTTTACACGCTAAATAAGTGTACACAACACCGTTACGACGACGACCCATGGCACGGATCGTCCCGGCAAACGTTTTTGGTGTATGCCCAATATATTTGGTGCGTTTTGGTGCTTTTGTTCGCGTGTGCGCGATGTCCCACCGGCGATTATCGCGTTTCTTTTTCGCTTCAAGGATTTCTTATCGATTTTAGCGCCAATTTTAATATGAGATTAACGAAATTTAATACGTAACATATATATCGTGTTACCCTTATTTTAATTTTTAAGAATTTTGGAGAATCGTTTATTATCAAGCCACGATTTTCTTTTATTTGAAAGTGAGATGTGTGATTTTTAAGGTACAGACACGCGTTGTGTTATCAAGTCACGTGAACTCGCGTTTTGTTGTACGTCATCGAAGAAACACATATAGTGCAAAAATTATATCGATTTTATGCAATTAATACTAGAGGAGGGATGAAATTGACCTAATATGTAATTTACGTTTGTAATTTGATTCATGCAACTGAGACTTAAATGAATGCATTTTATTGAAGCACAGGATACTGATTACCTGTGAAATACATGATATTATGCCCTTTGTGTTTTCCGGTAATTCACACATATTGGAAATTCCACATCTCGTCGTGCGTGTTGTTAAACGGATAGATGGTACTTTTATTGTATTAACGCACAAATTAAAAGCACGAAGCAATAATAAATTGGAACGGATCCGTTAAAAGACAATAACTTTATGATCAAACGCGCGAAAATAAACACATGATAACATATATCCCTATTTTTAGGTTCCCATCCGGTGTAGGCGAAAATTCATCTAGATATCGCTATCATTCTGACTCGCTTTCGCGAGTCACACATGCACAAAGACGCGTTATTGTGAGAGGGAAAG